GTCACCTAGAATTTTCGGGAGCCCTGTTTTCTGCTGAAATTTTCGAAAAGGTAAGTTTGATCCCTACAATTTTCGGATCACTAGACTTTCAGCTAGGAAATCCGAACAGATGAAAAATTTTTAGGGGATAAAAATATGCCTATATCTACCGTTTAAATACTAAAATACGTTTAACAATGCTATGTTAAAGTGGTTTTGAACTGTATTCTCGTTGGGTGCCCATGCACAATGGCACAGAAAGCTGGATAACTGGATATTTCTCAACCGTTAGCCACATCTTTCACTTCGGTGTGAGCTTCTCAGATGAAAAACGATTTTGTACTATCACAGCGAGTTTTATTCTTGCATTTTTCTCAATTACAGTTGCAGAAGTTCGAGTTAGCGAGGTTTCGACTTAATGGAGTCGATTGCAAAATTTAATTTGCCACATTAAAAATTGATAGTTACTGATTTTTCAGCACTTCAGTTTAAAGTGCTGTGCAAGTTTCACTTAATTAATCAGAAACGTTACCATTATTATACATTTTTTTATGATAAAATGTGATCTGTTCGTTGCACCAATTAAATTCAAATCGAGGTAGTTTTGGCTAGTGTTAGTTTTAATGTTTTTATAGTTTATAAAAAAGAAGAGCTAATGGGATGGTATCCGAGTTGAGTTACAAGAACCAGAATTATTCGAGTTATCGGAGTAAATTTCAGTGAATTTCTGATCAGGAGAAACAGGGAAAATGAAATTTAGTTCGAGTTGTCCGAGTTTGAGTTATCGGGGTTCTACGACGGTCTGTACATATGGAGTATACTAAGAAAGCATCACCAATGGACTCGTAGTGTCTCTGTGTCATTTATTCATATATTAACCGTTCTAATATCTAGATGGATTTTGAAGGATTATACCTGCAGGATCAATGCCACTAGGACGGAGGCTGTGAATATTAAATGATTTTAAGGATGTATAGCGGACAAGATGCACTACAGATTCAGAAGATTCTTAAGTGGCAGTAGCCTAGAGCGCCAATTGACTGGCATGGCCCATATTAGGCCCGAGTTAAGCGTCGGAGCATGTGCCATATTCAATACTATTGGGAAAAGTCTATCCGGCGTTCTCGCTCATTAGCATTAGATTCGGCACATCTAAAGGCGACGTTTGAACCAGGGTTCACACAGGCTGATGGTCGTTATAATTGTGTGTTAAAGTATTGTAGTCCACTTTTAACTGGTATGATCGGTAAGAACGTAAATCGAAGCTGTTATATATTTAGAACAGCTGGTTTAGGGTTTTTTTTATTTAACCGTACTTTATATTAAATACAATAACGTATTCTAGAGTGGCAGGCTGATAGCAGGAGCCCATTACCCGGAGTAAGCAGCTGTTTTGTACTTGGGACACGGCGTTTTCACCGTAATTTATTTCTTTTTAAAACAACCTTGTTCCCAGGGTTCTCTGCTACCCGTCCCTAGTGAGCGAGAGAGACCCGTAGGGACGGGTAGGAGAGAACCCTGGGGCCGAGGTTGTTCTTTTAATTCCAACAAATCAATTAGCAAATCCAACAAGCCCCCAAATTTTATTATTTACCTTTTAAATGACGAGTGTTAAGTTTTCCTTTTTGATATTTAATACTTGGATAGACCAAACGTAGATTTTATTTTCGAGGGGGGGACTGGGGGAAGGGGGGCGGGGGAGCGGGGAAGTGCTCCAGAAAAAATCGGGTAAGTTAAAACGCCGAGACATACCGTAGGCCTAGTTTGGGAGTTGCTTGCTGCAAGTTATGGCCTCCTGCTCATAGTATTTTTACTAGTAACAGTGGTAAGAACAGAATAGTCAAGAGAGTTTATACTGAATTAGTTTTCTTATTTTTTGGTTATTTTTTATTGTCATTTTTATTTTTTCAATTAGTGCAAATAAATTGAAGTATTTTTAAAAGTACACTTTTATCAATTGACGTTTCGGTTTGACATCACATGACGTAGTAGTGTGTTTTCTTAGTGAAACCCAAACCACCCCCACCCGGACCTATGCCCCAACCTTTTGTGGAGCCCGCAGTAACACCCGCTGACCAACATGGCGTCTTGCCCAGCAGCTAAAAAACGAGCATCTCGACAGAAAGCTGCAAACAATGTTGTTCAAACTGCTCCAATTTGCAATCTTCCTGCAAATATTACGCTACAAGTGTTCACTTATCTCAATGTAAAGACACTCTGTACTTTATCGACTGTGTGTCGGCGATGGTACATCTTGTTTGTGATCGCTCGTTGTGGAAATACGTTGATCTACGCTTGTGGCCACTCTCGCTACGGACTTTGAAGAAAATTGTAAGGAATCGCTTGTCAGATTCGTTTCTGGAACTGCTTATCAAAGGCTTCATTGGGACCACCAAAAAGGGCGAAAACATTTCACCATCTTTACTTGAGGAGATCAAGACGAAATGCCCAAGTTTAGAAACTCTGGGCTTGTGTTACTGTGACATGGGAAATGTTCCCGCTCAATGTTTGCCACGAAATTTAAAACCTTTACTTCTAGATCATTCGATAGTTCCACTTGGTTGGTTTGAGGGATTGCAATGTGAGACGTTCTTCCCAAATCTATTGCAGTTGAACCTAACATATTGCACCCGCGTTGAGAATTCAGATCTTCGTAGCGTAACAAAGCTGAAAAAACTTGAAAATCTAAATTTCAGTTACTGTTATCGAGTTGGTGACGAAGGCATTGAACATATCGCCCGAAATCTTAGTAATCTGAAAGTGCTTAATCTTTCAAATTGTCCGAAAATAACGGATTTAGGATTGCATCATATTGGACCACATCTCATTGGTCTAAAAAGGTTTAACCTGTTATCAAGTTGGAGAATAACTGATGCTGGTATTCTTTCACTGGTTCACAGTCTCACTGAACTGGAATATTTGAATCTGTCATCATGCAAGGAGGCGACTAATTCAGGGCTTACTGAGATCACTGACAAGTGTAAAAAGCTGAAGTTGTAGGTCGTAACAGGCTGTACTGCTATTACAGAAAGGAATGTGAGTAATGCTATGTTACTTTTACAAATGTACCTCTGTGTGATATTCAGTGGGTGAAGGAAAAGTTACATGTATGCACTGAATTTTTTTTTCCCTCTAGAATTATCATTGAATATTGTTCGGGAGCTAAGTTTTGAATGGGCACAGCCGGTACAAAACTTCATTAGCAGACTTAAAATGGGCATGATTAGTTTTAAACAGTCTCTGTATAAAGCCCATTCCTCAGTGCAACTCAAGTATAAGCATAAATATAGCATGGTTCACACCAGCGACACAACATAAGCATGAGCGTAAGAGGCTTATGTGCTAGTAAGGATGGCCTTGACATAAGCATAAGCCTAAACACAAGAATATTAAGACCCTGATTCTTGTACTAATGCTTATGCTTATGGAATGACAGTGCTCACTAGCTCATAAGCTACTTGTACTCATCAGTGCATGCTTATGCTTGCATTGTGCAAAAACTCATGCTTATGCTTGTGCTTACACTCCCAGTGAGAGCCAGGCTTTAATAAGAGATTTCATTAGTCTGCACCATTTGTAAAACAACCACATTTGGCCCAGGTCAATGTGAGCAGTTGGTGAGAGGAGATAAAAAAATGCACCACACCATTTACTTTGCAGACATTGAATTTGTTTGAACTAGTGAGTCTTACCAGGCACAGTCTTTATTAGGGAAATTAGATGCCAGTGCATTTTAACACTACATGGTTTCATATGCACCTTGAAAATCCTTGAAAGTCCTTGAAAATTGCAGTCAGCACTGGAAAGACCTTGAATTTCAATGCTAACTGATAGTTTAAGGAGAACTGCAAAGGAAAAGGAGCAAACACAAAGACCTTCAGGATAAAATTCTCCCGATGTGAAAGAACTAAAAAGAGATAGGCTCAAGGCTCTTTTTTCCACTGAATGGAGTCCTTGAAAAATGCCAGATGACAAAAGTCAAAGTCCTTGAATTTTTTGTTCAAAAAAGGGTACTAACACTTACATTAATTCTGCGCACCAAAGCCTGTCAAAATAGTCTGTTCAATCTCCAGTTTTATAAAATGTAAACAAAGATTTACATTGCAATTGGCTTAAGTTAAGATGTGAAAAGCTCAGGTGAGAGATGAGCTCTGTGAAATTATATTATTTTCAACAATGAACAAACATGAAAGCAGAACTCTATAATTATAATTGTTGGCAATTATAGCTAATTTTCACTTGGAAGATAATGGTTTGGCAATAACTCTACCCCTGTTAAGGAAAACACGCTGCCAATTTCTCTCATTTGTTTTTACTCCAAACAGTAGCTAAACGTATCTGCTTTGCAAATTACAGTTAATTGCTGTTGTACAAGTGTAAAAAAAGTAAGAAAAGGGAGAAATTCTAGTACCGTATCACAATCTAAGATATTAAAGCAATACAATACAATTTAAGTTTCTTAACATGTCCCAAAATGGGCCGGTTTTCAATGTTAATTTGCAGTCATCAAGATAAAACCTAATTACAATGCTACTAAAAGTTGTCGACATAAACTAAAATAAAAATAATTATGAACCTAAAAACATTACGTAAGTCAAAGTATAGATGCATCATGCCCAAAGTTACCTGCGGGCATGTTGTTTAAAAAGATCAATGTTCATACTGTTCTTAGTGTCCTCTTTTAACTTATTCCATGATACTATTGCATAACAGAAAAATGATCTTTGTGCAGTCGAGGTTCTCCTAAATTTAGTGTCTAAGTGATTCTTCTGTCTGCTACTCTGACTGTCGATATTAAAATGCTTAACCAACATTGGCTCAGGGTAACTGGCAGCGAGGCCATTAAGAAATTTAATAACCATGATTACGTCACGAAGTTGTCACATTTTCTCTATTGGAAGCCATCCAAGTTCTCTAATGGTTGTGGAAATGTGCTTTTTTTTTTTTCCACTTAGTATCCTGGCTGCGAATCTCTGCAACAACTGCAGTTTTTGGATATTTTGTTGTGTTGTTCCTGACCACACAGTGGAACAGTAAAATAATTTGCTGAACACTAAAGAATACAAAATGACTCACAGAACGTCTTTTGTAAATACACGTAGATGTCGGACACTATTAATTTGACAGAGTTTGCCGAGTAGTGAAGATGATAGATGATTTACATGATCAAAATCGAAAAAAAGATAGGTTTCTGTCAAATATAACTGCTAAATCTTTGCAAAAGGGCGAAGGATATAGTTCTCTACCAAGGAAAGGGATGGTGATGTCGCTAAGTTTCCCAATTTGGCGTATACGAGCGAAGCGCGCGAGAGCTCCACTTATAGAGGCCCCGGTTGCATGAAAAATTGGTGTGCTATAGGCCTCTTCGAAAAATACCTTAATACATGTATTCTCAAATTGCCACTAGCGTAGAGCTAGTGTAGAGCTTCATGTGCTTCATGTCACCTATCTTTTGTTCGTTACAGGAACTGCCAGTGCCATTGCGAGTTTCTACAATAGAATTTAGAGTACGTATAGGAGGCTTGCACTTATTAAAGCCACCTTCCAACTCGTTGCCGAACTCTTGAATGTAATGAAAGACAAAAGTTATATTAAAAATATACTTTGGTCAACGTTGCCGGAACGTTCGCGCAAATACGCTGAGTATTTGAGGTCTACATGAGGTACTACCCAAACGACGATTTTGAGAATATGGTATTTTTCGCAGTGGCCTATAAGTTCCAATGTTAGTTAAATCCAACAGGCCATTTCCGAGTTCCAGAAACTCTCACTTTCAAAACGAGGCTGAGTGGGAAACCTTTTTTGTGAAAATGAGTTTTATTTGCAGGTGAATAAAAAATCGTTTTCATATCAATAGCTTCGCACTTAGCCTCGCTTCGAAACAGATACTTGAGGCAATTCGGAAATGGCGTATTTTCTTCTTGTGATTCTTCTTGTGAATCAATCAGGTCACGAGAATCAAAGATATGATTATCCAGGATTAATTTTCACGATATTCGAACAAATTCTCCCACTACTTCTATAAGAAACTTATGAGGCAAGAAAGGAGAATTTCTGTTGTTAATATTGGAGGGTTTAATTTGCTGGTGCTAACACTACGTCACACCCGCACCTGCACCCACAAATTTGAAAACCTAACACGTGCTCAGTGGTTACGAGGCCATTTTTGTACAATGGCCCATTACTACAACCAGAGTTTATATCGGTGTCTTTAATTTCAAACCGTATTTAAATTTTGTCAAGCCATGAAGGTTTAAAATCTGAACAACGGCTCTAGCTACTTTGCAGCATAATCAAAACAGGAACCTCAGTGAAGGGTTCAGGTGGTTGTAGCAAATGCTTTTGCCCTCGCGTAGAAAATATTCAGTTGTAGCTTGACTCTCTCTGCGTATAAAAAAAATTCAGCAGACTAAATTATGACTGAAAATAAAATATAGCGGGTAATGAGAGGGACGTTCCCTAAATTCTGAATTCATCATGCAGTGTTTGCTCTGATAAAATACTACAATACTCATCACAAATCATTGAAACAGAGTGAAACCGTTTCTCTTGAATTTTCTCGAAAATTTCTTATATTCACTCTTCACACGTTTGTTCTCACTCAAATTGCCCCTCTCCTTCCCAATGTTGAGCCACGCGTCTTTTGGAGCACTGAGACGACTTTAATACCCAAATCAACATTGGGAAAGGGGAAACGCACACATGTGTGTCAAGATATTTGATGACTATTATAGCTTTGAAGCTATTTGGAACTGCCAACTAGCTGTCGACTCAACCTAGGTCATTTGCGAATACCTCTCGTATCTCCTTCAAAGAGTCTTGTTGTTCATCCATTTATATAAATCTACTTTCCGTGATGCACATGCAAATTAAACTGTTGACAAATTGTTGTTTACCAGTCTCCAGGTTGACAAAGAGGCTAAGTGTAATGTAAAAGCGGGCTATTCATGCAGTATCACCGTTTGTTAGAAACTAAAGTGAGACTAACCGCCTTTATCTTATGTCTCGTTTTCGATTTAGCGGTTATTACTTTTCCCTGTTATTTGTTTTGTTCGCTTCTCTGTAACGTTTTCAGTTCAAGTGACCTGGCGCTTTGGAATTTTAAATTGGGAGGATCACCTGTCTGAAGACAAGTCACTGCCGCTTTCAAACTGTGCGATCCATTCGAAACAAAATGCTCAAAGTTTTTTTAGTTAGTACGCGTTGTAGCTCGTTGGTCCAACAGTTTAAGTTTAGAAGTTTATGACCACAAGTCTCCTCACCATCACTGGTGAACCCCTATTAAACACATTTTGTGAGGGGTCCTTGTATTAATCAAGAATAACCGAGAAGAAGAAGTCTGGACACAATTTACCTCACGTGAGATCCTTTCGCCTTTTTCGACTAGTATTTTCATATTTTGCGTGATGTCATCATGACGACAAATTTTGACATGATATCAGGATATTATTCTGTTGAACATCAAGCATTTCTATCCCACGTGTGTCAGCTTAGAACATAGATTTGTAGGTTTTAGGAAACGGTGATGCTTGGCCTGAACTCCAGTAGCACACTCCACTCGAGGAGACGGCTGAAATTCAGGCAAGATAATGCCCTCTTGGTTTGATATTGTGGTAGTCACCAGCGAATCGAAGTTGTGGGCCACTGCTGCCGACATTTTTCTCTCCCGAGAGAAGCGCTGGGGACGAAATTGTTCTTGAGCATCCTAAGTTTTAGAACCTTTTTAAACACGGAAATAATGACTAGTGATGATAATAATAATAATAATAATAATAATAATAATAATAATAATAATAATGATAATGATAATAATAATAATAATAATAATAATTTTTTTTTTATAAAAGAATAACTTTATTCATAGATTCAAAAAAATAGACTATTTACACATTCAAGAATATGAATATTAAAATATATACCCTATGTTACATTCTTCTTGTGTACGAAAGAGAATTGTCGTAAAATGACTATCTAAAAACTACTAATAACAATTATAAAAA